CCTGCAGAGTCTACTTCAGATTGGGTACCCGATGAAACAATCTCAAATTTACCAACCAAATTTCAGAAAGAACTTCAAATCAAACCCTTAACCCAATTAGAAAAACGAATAGCCAAAATAGAACAAACCTTCTCTACCTCAATATCCAAACAAGGGTCAATTAACCAAGATTCTGCAAGTATTAATCAAACAGCTTGCACAATAACCAAAGAAGAACCTTAAGAGCCTTTGACCTTAAACAAATTGCATCAACCCTCTTCTTCACAAAACCACATTTCCAATTGGAAAAATCTACAAAAATTATACTATTCCAGAGCCACATATCCTGATATCCTTCTTGAAGAAAAACCCAATATCTTGCAAAATTCATATAATGCTAACAACATATATGAATGGAGCATAGATGGGATTTCTGAATACAACATTCTGACAGCCCTTCAACAAATGACAATGGTAGCAACAGCCTATCGAACATCACATGGCTGTACTGACCAATTGGCTGCTCATATCCTTATTACAGGATTTACTGGGCAATTAAAAGGATGGTGGGATGAACACCTTACCATTGATAGGATTGAATACAGGGAATATTCTTTTGCTAAATTGGTAGATGATTTACCAATATTAGTTTCTGACGACTAATTTGAAAGTCTATATATATATATATCCCTCTTTTTTAGAACCAATAGACTATATCAATCACCTATATGTAAATCCAAGTAAAGGGAGAAAACTCATTAAAGATAGAAATAAAGGTATAATTGTCCCCACTTTATTAAATATACTTTCTAGAATGCACTTATCATAATCACATAATACTAATCACAAGTCACGAAAGACATGAATTCTTTAAAAGCACATTTGAATTTGTTAATCCATTAGGGAAATTTGACAATCCATCACAGTTTCCTGGACCATAGTGCAATTTTGAAAAGATTTGAAAAAATTTGGGTAGCGTTTCTCCTATAAATAGACGAAACTCCCTACCAGCAAACCACATTTCAACCAAAATTCAATCATAATCTGCTTTTCCACAATCATTCTTCACCATTTCTCAACAAAAGTAAAGAGTTAACATGCACTAACAATCATATAAACTGAGTTAACATGCACTAACAATCATATAAACCACATCTCCCCCACACTTAAGAGTCACATTGTCCTCAATGGGATAGGAGGGTAAAGAAACAATACTCCCATAATCAATGGGAATGAGAGATCCAGCAGTCGATACGAACATCTCGAACATCACGATCATCCCAAAATCTACTTAGACTGCAGGAGGGGAGAAAGTACATAACAAAACACTTAACTAAAAGTCAACAAAAGATAATCGAAAACAAAAGAAAGATGAAGACTAAATAAAAATGAAAACAAAGCAAATTAAGCTGAGGGGCCACCAAGTTCCGTAGCTTCTTCTCCTCCAACTTCTACACGAGTTTCTTGCTCAATCTCGCCTCTTGGCTCAGGAATAGATGTAGCTTGACCTTCGCCAGGTATGGGAGTTGGAGTCGGCGTAGGGGAACGGCGGATTTGGAAATGGTCCTCCAATGCTCGAAAAAGCCGATCATGGCTCTCCAACCTCTCTGTGATGACGTGCTCCTGTTGGTCAATTCGCCCCATTACTCTTGTCTCCATATAACAAATGGTATCGAGGACCTCTTGCCACCGAGACCTAGAGGGAGGCAGTGGAGGTTGAATTGGAGTAGGTTGAGTCTGTTGTGCTTCAGTCTCTTGAGCTTCCGGTCTTGGTTGAGGATGAGGAGGAGGTTGAGTGGAGGTCGAAACTTCACCAATGGCAACTTCTCGAACCAAAGAAGCTCCAAAGTCCGTTGGAATGCCAAAGATTTGAGCAATGTAACATTGACCTCATCAACGGCCTTGGTGATAAGGGCTCTCTCAGCACCAAGGGGAATCTCGAGTTTCTCAAAAAGGACGGAAAGAAGGCGAGGGAACCCAAAGCAAGTTTCACCGGCCCTCATGCGACCCGTGGTCCACATGTAGCTAATAATAATACTAGCCAGAGGAATACCAATCAGCTGCAGTCCCACGCCATGCATCATTTTATCCAAGAAGTAAATATCGCTGTTTCGTAGCTCGCGTTTGCCACTCTTCTTGGGTATTACATTGTGCGCAAAGAAATAGAAAATGAGATGATACCGAGCCTCAAAGGAATCGGCATATACAATCTTCTTTTTCGAACTGTCTCTATTTCTATACTGGCCCTTAAGTCGTGCTACTGCTTCTTCGATTTGTCAAGAGTCACGCTCCTTAAATTCTTTGGTCAACTTCACATCCATTCCCTTATCCTTGAGTTTGATATACCGTGCAATTGTCTCCCGGTGGATGGCCACCCTCTTGCCTCAAACCCAAGAGCTAATCAAATTGCCGCTATGTCCTTGCTTATCCTTAACATTAGCATAAAACTCCCGCACCAAGTTTGAGTAGTAATGCCGCGGCAACTTTAGAATATTCGCCCATCCGAGTCTACCAAATGCCGTGGACACTTCGTAATGATCGTCCACCTTGGGCGCCAAATGCTTCTCAATGATTATCTCCTTGGCTAACCCGGCTTCATACCACTGTTGATTCTCTAATGATGTGAACCGTGTGGTATCATAGTCCGGAGGTGACTCCTCTCGACTTGTGAATGTCCTCTTGCGTCGTGAACGAGGAGGTGACTCGGGCGAAAGAGATTCTTCTGCCAATAAAGGTGTATGTTCATCACTTGAGGAAGGCGAATGGGTGCAAACAATAGCTCTTCTCGTTCGAACCATCGTGCCTATATCAATGTCAAAAGTAGTGCACATATTAGATAAACAAAACCTCATACCCCTTGAAAACAGGTATGATGCAAATTGGTGTTGGAAACTCAGTTGAAAAACATTTTGGGCAGAGTTTCCCCTTGAAAAAGGGCTAAACTCCTTGCCAAGAAACACCAAATTCAAGAAAATTTTCCACATGACAAGTTTCCACGCAGAATTCCAACATTTATAATGCATTTACATAATAAAAATCTCATCATAGGCATATAGGGGCACAATGAAACTTGCGAAAATGATGTGTCACACAGTAGAACTTCTAAAATCACCTTAAGTCAACATCTAAATGCACATTCATATAGCATCCTCAATTGCAACAATTCACAACTTCGCAGCAATTTCATCCAAGAAATTCATGCCAATTTGTTCAAATGGTCATATGTTATCCTCTAATTGGCATAAAAATAATCTCTACTCTCTAAAACAAGTCCAAAGTATCCAAAGAGAGCGAGAAATTACAAGCAAAAAATGACAATGTGCATTAGCCCAATAATTGAGAGAAAGTAAGAAACATTTCACCGTAACCACAATTATCTCATTACTGAGCATCAAAATAGGTTGAATGACATTTCTTAGCACAATGTAGCACAAATACAACAAGAAATTTCAACAATTATGCATTTCTCAAAATATGTCAAAAACTAGAAAAATTGAAAATTGGGAATTGTAAAACATCAAAGAGAGTTGAGAAATATTGCCTAAAGTGTATAGAGTGATACTAGAGGAAGCTAAAAGTGCAAAATGCAAGAGAAACTAGCACAATTTCAGCCCCCAAAAGTGTGGAATTCAGTTCGTCCTCTTTCCCTTTGTTGACAATCAAAAGCCCCAAATTTAATGTTTTTGATGCGAAATTGTTGAGGATTTATAACCACAAGAGGTTTGGGGATGTTTTTATGGTGAAAGATTAGAAAATTAATGGATGAAATGGAAGATTGGAGCAGAGGGCCTAGGGTTTCGATGAAGAAGAAGAAGAAAAAGTGAAGAATTGTAGAACCGAAGCCTCGGTTCTGCTATAGTTCGGATCGGTTCGATCAAGCCTCGGATCCGATGGGCTCAGATCCACCTCGCCAAAAGAACAGACGAGCCCTCGGATCTAAGAGAATTTCTTTGGATCTGAGCTTGGATCCAGCTGGGCTCAGATCCACCTCACTAGAAGAACAGACGAGACCCTGGATCCGAGAAAATTTCTTCGGATCCGAGCTCGGATCCAGCTGTTTCTGAAACAATTGCAGTTTCTGCAATTGTTTCCAATTCTGACAACTTTTTCTACTATTTCCAAATTACACTTGGGAAGAATTTTTTCGCAATTCAACACCACACGCAAGTATAATATACCCTTAACACTAAATCTAACCTTTCAAAACACATCAAACACATCTAAATTGCAAATCGAGGGTTGAGTTTCTTTGATCATTTTGACACTTTAACACTAAAATATCACTTTTAGGCATGAAATGCACATCAAATGAGTTAATGAGCATATACAAACATGTTATCACTGAAACTCACTTGATTATCATGAAAGTGCAACATTGGATATGTGAACGAGAAATGTAGATACTTAAAACAAAATCTAATATTCAAACTTCCTTTTTTAAATATCGTTTTTCAAGTGCACCTCCAAGATAAACGTTCAAACTCCGATAGCCCTCCTACAAACCAATAAAACATTAAAAATCACACCAACTAACGAAAAACACATTAAAAACACATTAAAACTAAAGAAATCGTTGAGTTGCCTCTCAACTAGTGCTTTTGTTTATAGTCGTTAGCTCAATTCAAAAGATTTGGCTCATTTTAGAACATTAGGTAGCGATTTTCTCCCCACAAGTCGAAACTCCCGAGCCAATCCACCATGTGGTGATTCATGCATTGATCTCTATAGTCCAATTTCCTCAAACGCCAAGGAGGAGACTTGTTATATAAAGGCTCAACTTCATCTTGGAGTGGAATTTGCTTGCCTTTTCCGAATTGGCTCAACTTTTCACCTCTTTCTTCATGGAGTGACGACTTTTTCAAGCCAACTTCCGTACTTATTTTCACCTCACTTGCTCCTACACCATGAGCGTTAATACCAAGAAAATTTATAGATTTAACTTCTGCATAGGGGCTGTACTAATGCATAATAAGAGGCTAGTTGATTTCAACAGGGGTAGATCCCGCCTCAATTGGGTAATAATGAGGACGACGAGGATGATACTTATGATGATGATGAAAAAGCAGGCTTTTCAGGTGGGTTTGTCGGATTGGATCCAGCAGCGAAAAGAGTCGAGAAATTGATACTTGAGGGATGTGAAGATGATACTAATACTATACTGAAGGGGTTTGGAATTGTGGGGTATGGGGGATCAGGGAAAACCACACTTGCCCGGAAGGTTTTCTGGAATTTGAGAAATTTGTTCTCGCCAAGGATTTGGGTTTCTTTGTCTGGGACCCTTTATGATGCACCGGTGAGCGGGGAGTTGAGAGTGAAGATTTTAAGGAAAATGCTGGAGCAGGCTGGTTGTGATGTCTCAGAATTGTCGACTGCTAATGTTGGCGATATTCCCAATCTCACTGAGAAGCTTTACCGTCGACTAACGGGCAAGAGGTATCTTATTGTGTTGGATGAGGTCTGGCACGTTAATGGTTGGTATGGGGATTTATGCTCTGAGCAGCCAAAAGGCGGCGATGCATCATTCGGGGACTGCATATCTCATGCCTTACCGAAAGATAGTGATGGGCGAATTATTGTCACAACTAGGCGAAAAATTGTTGCAACACAAATGATAGGTGAGAAGAACTTGATGCCAATTGATACTCTGCTGGACCGAGAGATTGGCTGGTCGGTGTTTTCTGAAGCTGTCCGTCAAGATGGAAGAGTTGATGTGAATAACAACACTCTATTAAAGATGGAGGAGATAAGCAGCAAAGAATGTGCTGGCCTTCCCTTAGTTGCCAGGACTTTAGCAACGATAATTCCAGAACAAATCCAAGAGGAGGAGGCTGAATAGAACTTGGTCTAGCGATTAAAGTTAATGTCTCAGAAATTAAGGGTCTTGGGTTCTCAACTCCCTGTTCCTGCTTCTTAAATCTTACCAATACTTTGCTAGAAAAATTTTTTAAAAAAAAAGAAGAAGAAAAGTTGATGTTAATGGCTCAAATTACTTTGTTTCTGATGGCACTTGATCTTATGATATAGTTCCGGTTGTAATTCCTGAGATGCTACTTGTAATGTATACTTGCTGTTTCTCTGCCTTTAAGAGTTGATGATTCAGCTTGTAAATAAGCGCAAATAGTAAATACTCTACCTTTGAAAGAGGATTATTTGCGAGGCAAATTTCTCAAACTAATGCTGTAAAAGGAAAAGATCACAAAAAGTGGGGCTTTGTGGGTTGGCTTGCTTGATCTAGCATCACCATACATTTGGCAAAATCCATTTTATTTTTATTTTTTCTAAACAATATCGCCCATGCGTGGTGACACATTATTATTATTATTATTATTTTACATTCCAGTCCTAGGACTAAAATATAAAATGATAATTAAAAAAAAAAGAAGAAACAATCCTATATTAAATACCAAACTTTTTATGTATGATATACATTTAGACTTGTAAGTGTATATACTAATGATGCATGAAAAGATTTATTTAAAATATAAACCCTACTATTCCAAGATAAAGAGCAGCATTTTATGTTATAACTTTTTTAATTTTTTTTTCCTTTTTTAGTTCAATAAATGTCATGTAAAATAAAAAAAAACTTGCACATGGTGCGACAGCACTGTTTCTTTTTTCTTTTTTTTTTTTTCGTTTAATCCAGATAACGAGTCCATGTAGATTGGAAATACCCTTTGGCTTTTTCCTGGGCCATACTCAGCAGCATTGAATGCATCATAAAAGTATCAAGATATCGGACAAGGGGTGCAACCGTTTGTGCCGGTTTGTGCATTTTTCAACAGCGCGTAACATTTTTTGCACATCGTATAACTTTCTTTACACATGGAGTAACTTTAGAACAATTTTTTGTGGGCCTCACACATGACGTGAAAATCGAGTTACATGCTATAATGTGAGCCGCACAAATTTTTGAGGTCATATCGTGGCCGTGAACCTTCTGGAACGGTTGTCAGAGACAACCGTTCCTACCCCATTTCCCAAGATATCTCAGAGGCAACCTGTAAACTGACCTGTAACCTGTAATCTTTACTTTTATGTCTGAGAAAGAAAAATAATAAAAGTAGATAGTCTGCTTTTGATTCTTTATTCTGGATCACATTTATTTCTTTAAAACGTATTCCTCAGCGTGGATATCGTCTCACTCTGCCCAACCTCCATTATGCGTCAAAAGAATACTCAGGTTGCATTTACAGATACTAATTGCATAAAAAACTCTTGCATTTCTGGGTAAGCTTGCTTGTTAAAGAAAAACTCATTTGATACTGAAAAGTTTGCAAACAATTACCTCTCCATGACTTTTAGGAATCAGTGTCAAATAGTGCAGTAGTATCAGAAGCTAAAAATTTTCCTGTGTGGTTAACTGACACGACACGGAAAGAATTGAGGCGGTTGCTTTTTTTTTTTGTAATTAGCTCTTATATTATTAAGTGTTAATATCTATAAAATATTATCATTTGGGAAAAAAAAAAAAAGGACATCTTTAGTCAATATATTTTTGACAACCAAGGTGGTAATTGTGAGAAAGATGTAACCCAAAAGCCAAAGTGAACCGAAGCAATCTGGAAATTATTACTCCCTCTATCCAAATTATTTGGTCTTGTTTCGGGAATTTAATTTTTTTAAAAATAGTAATTTGATTGTAAAGTTTGTACTTCTCAATTCAATTTTATCCTTATAAATTCAAAATTTGAATTTGAATGATAGCATGCATATAATTAGAAGGATGGGTTATATTAGAAAAAGAAACTAAAATGTATTTTAACTTTTTCAATAGGATAAATATATTGGGACATCTCAAAATGGAAAATAGGATACTTCCAATGGGACAGAGGAGTATTAATTAAGCTTGGTTTAAATGTAATGGAATTGGTTGATTTATCGCCACAAAAAAAAAAAATTGCAACCAACTACAATGTCTTGACTAATAAGGGAAGTGTTATAGAACTGAACGAACCAAATTTGCTAAGAAGAATTAGTCTAGTGGTTAAAATATGCTAGAGAATGGAAGTGTTAGTTTCGATTCTCCTCCACCCCTCCTCGCCTGCGGTGTTATACTTTCAAGTATTCTCCTTGAGCCCATCTTGAGTTCATCTCAATTCCACTTGAGTTTTTCTTTCAAAAAGCCTTTTCTTTTCAAAGATTGCAATCACAATTTTTGAAAAAAAAAAATTTTGGAACTATGTTCAACTAGTCTCGATTTGCAAGTTTATACCAAACACAATTGAGGTAGTGCATACGACATTTGACTATTAAATTCTACCTACTTCGTTCTTCATCCGCCACCAACTTTATTTGATTTCTTTGGTGCAAGGCATAACTAACATCCTTCATTTCTCACGCGTTTCTAGTCAATTAACATATCAGTTCATTTTTATTATTTTTCTAATTATCAAAATTACATGATTAAAAAGAATAAGGTTTTCAATAACTTGTTAATCTCTTACAACCTTCCAACAGATTAGATGTAGGGTCTTGTTAGGCCTTTAGTGATTGGAAGATAACTTATTAACTTCCTACACCCTGCGTGATGAGCATTTTGTGTGATTAGATAGGTGGTCAATATTAAATTATTCAAATAGTCTATTGTCAATAAAAATGTAGAATCTATAATTGCTTGATTGTTTTGATATTTGTGACAAGTGGGATATTTGTTTATATGTCAGGGAAATATATGATGTAATTTAAATGAGCTGAACTTGTGACTTTATTGATTAGAATTGGTGGACTTTCAAGTTATTAATGATGTTGATACATTCAATCTTGAGAGCTTGTTTAGGCTTGTCTATTAACAAGAAAAATATTCAAAAAATTTGTTTTGGTTATTGAAAAACTAAAGAGAGGCAGGTTGTCAAAATTTATTGATTATCATATCCAATTTGTTGATAAATATATGAATGTATCCTTACATCGATAATCAGTGGAATGAACCAAAACCAAGATTTTTCCTTTGACTAGAGGTTTGTATATTATTAATCCAATTTTATTTGATTTTTTATTTTGTTATTACTTTATTTTATTTAAGGTACTTTAGTTTAAGTTCTCAAACCCCTCCCCCAACCCTTCCTCTTATTGATAGTTACTACAAAGAAATAAATCAATTAATTCCTATGAGAATGAGTCTACTCATCACTGCACACAAAAGCATTCATGCAGGTATTTTTGTTTTGGCAAAATGATCGGTTTCATCCCTCATATTTTGCAAAAATATTTTTTTAATTCCTTACTTTTAAAACAAAGCAAATTCATCCTTGACATTTAAAAATTGAAACTATTACACCCTGAACTCAATTTTTAATCTGAATCAAACCATCCAATAACCCAATAATAAATTTCGGGAGATAGAATTGATAGATCATTCAGTTAACTCTTTCACATTCACATGACATTTATTGAATCAAAAAGAAAAAAATAAAAATTACAACATAAAAATTGATAGATCACTTGGTAAACTCCATCACATTCACATGACATTTATTGAACCAAAAAGAAAAAAAATAAAAATTACAACATAAAAAGGCCGTTGTTTGTCTTGGAATAGTAGGTTTTTTTTGGGTAAATCTTTTCATGCATGATAGGGTGTTAATTGTTAGCAATTTTATTGTTAATTTTCCCTTTTATCCTTGCCAAATATTGTTTTAATTATTAATATTTATTTATATTTGGTATTGGACCCAATTTCAGGGAGTGAAGCAGAAAACTACAAAAAAGGAGGGACTTTCTGAAAATAATTGAGACTTCAAATAAGCCACAGACCTGGCCCACATGGTGATATACGCGGACTGCATTTCTTTTTTGCGGATTAGGAGTATCTTGGAGTGTTGAAGTGTTTGACTATCAAGAGAAAACTAAAGAAAGAAGGACTTCAGAGAACTTCACTTTATGTACACTCCTTTCTCAATTTGTGCGGGGACCACGGAGAGAAGAAAGGCATTAGTCATTTGAATTGAAAGGAAACAAACCTGCAAAGAGTTGTTTTTGTTCCTTATTCGTGGGGACCACTGGCTAGATAGTTTTAGTCATTTCCCTTAGGCTATATAAGGACAATCGTAAGAAAGGCTAAGGGGACCTTTTAGCATAGTTTAGTTTTATTCTTTCTTGGTTCCTTTGATGGCCTGGATCTCAGTTAAATTACTTAGAGATTTTCTCATGAGGCGTGGCTAAGTTTTTCGTCTAGTCGAGGAACAACGGAGGACTTGGTTCTACTAAATTTGTGAGATCGAATTAGTTTTTATTTATTTCCATTATTCACTGGTATTCGTCTATCTTCTGCTTTATGTTCATATGGTTGTTTTATTATTCGATTATCCAGGACCCGGATTCTAGATTAATTCAATAACCTGAAGCCAATTAGGGTAGTTAAATCCGTAATTGTTTAACTATTCTAAACTGGTGGCAACTGGCATGATTGGGTTTGTGTCAGGAAGATAGACAGGCTAACTTAAAGAGACCCTCGTAGCGTGTTGATTGGTTAGAATTAGGCTCTTCTAATTATTCATGCAATTAGGCAATTGAACTTCTATGGTCGTACCTAGGGTTATTTCCTGATTAGAGAAATAGTCAACGGTCGTACTTTGGCTATCGACAAATTGAGGAAGAGTTGATTGTTTATCGCGTGTATGACAACTATAACTAATTTATCAGATAATAACTGGAATAATCCTTGTATCTGTGATCGAATTAAGTGAACCATCTCCGAAATTGTCTCTTGGCTAGAGTTCGTCCATTATTATTTTTATTGTGATAATTAGTTATTTGAGTTGTAGTTGTCTTATTTTATTTTAATTTATTCCAAGCAATTTAGTTACTCTCATTTTAAAAAACCCCCCATACTTC